GTAGAGGTCTAAGTGGGTGGGGAAGTGTATCTAAGGATATGAAGACAAACCATTAATACGAAAACATAGACAGTCTTCAGAATTAGAAAAAGCCTACACAAGATGTTGTCACTGGCAAAATTTTTCTTTTGACAGAATAAATGCCCGCCCTGCGATAGTAAAGATTTTTGTTATCAAGCTTCGAGCGAAAGGAAAATCAAACATTTTTATTTTCGCTTCAGAAACGCCAACTAGTCTGAGAAATTCCTTTCTTAGATAATATCCAATTAGCGATAAACTGCTTGACAAATACCACGTGTTAAAAAGCCGAGAGTGTCATCTCAGTCGCTCATGATAAGGGCGATTTAATTAATATTTTTGTTTTTTAAGCAAGGTATTTCTTTCCCAAAACAAAGCCACGGATTGTCCACGCCCGACTAGGACGTCATTGGCTAAATAGATCACATGACATACGAAGGAGGAGGAAAGATACCCGACCAGGACCTCATTGGCCGAGAGCGGTCACGTGACGCACGAGGAAAATCGGTCAACACCCCTATCAGAAGTGTAAGTGTGAGGAGCCGATACGAAGAAGCGGGGAAGTGGATACACGCCCCTCAGAGGAACAGTAAGGGAGTGGGAGAAGAGAGGAGAGTTACCGAAAATGGAAAAGAATGAAAAATCCCTAACCAGAAATAAGAAGGGTGGATACGTATTTAGAATTATCGAAGAACCCCTGGCGCCGACAGACCCACCCCAGTTTTGACGGCGTCAATAAAAGCGAAACCCCAACCGACAGAAATCAGTTCGTCGACCCAAGCCGGAGAGAAGAAGTTTGAGTTCAGCCGCGGACGGCAAGCGGAGTGGAACCGCGGACGGCGGGCCGAATTCGTTCGCCTCCTTAGCGGGCAGGAGAGGCCAGTTCGTTTGGCCTAAGTGAAGAAGTTCGTTCGACCCAAGCTGACGAGAAGAAGTTAGTTCGCGCACCGACGGCGGAGATGAGTGACCAGTAATTCAGACTCTGGAGAGAAGAAGTTCGTCGACCCAAGCCGGAGAGAAGAAGTTTGAGTTGAGCCGCGGACCCTGGCGAGAAGTTTTGAACCTTGGACGACAAGCAGAGATGAGCGCCCAGTGTTGAAACCGCGTCAAGATAGCTGACTAAGATTCACGCACACTTCTGGACTCTTCTTCAACCAAGAACAAGTAGTTTAAAGAGCGACTTAGAATCAGACCACAGAAATAAGTTTTTCGACTTTCGTCCAAAGACACACCGAAACACAAATTTCTTAGGGAGCAGACAACTTGAAGCCTTAAAGTTGCCTAGTGAAAGCGTCGTGCCACAATCCACAGAACGGTTTGAGAAGTAGACATAGTCCTATGTACCGAGCAAATAGACATAAAAAGTTTGTTACCTTTTTCTTTGATACTTTGGACTTTGTGAGTTTTTATTTTATTTTCTTTTATACATAATTGTGTGTTATCACCCCCGTTGAACTCAGCTTGCATTACGGCCCCAACCCCTGTTTGATCTCGTCTGTCTAAGATCAATTCACAACGTGGGTAGGCAGACTGGAGATCAGTGCAGTTACCCTGGTAACCAGGCGTTGGAAGCAGGTTGGGAACGGCGAGGCTGGTATCAATCTAACCAAAGGGTTAGAACGTCACGTTTGGAGCAGCTCAGGAGCGAATGGCTGACGCCGCGGCGAAGACGTCACAATGTAGTTAATGGTGATTAAAATAGATTAAAAAGGCATTAACTCACTGACCACTTACTGAACGACACGGTCCTTGTTTTATTAATGTTCGGTCCATATTGCTTGAAAGTACTTTTTGGTAAAAACATTTACCATCCTCAAGTATAGATGTTATTTTTTCTCAATTTCAAGTAATTTCGGGTAAAATTCTAAGACAAAAATGAATGTGATACTTAATCTGGTTTCTTTAAATTAAATATGATCGATCTGTATTGTGCATATTGGACCTTTTCGGGTGATTATTTCTTACATATTCTGTACATTTATTCGTAATTATTGTCAATTTTAATCTGTTAGCGAAGTGAGTTGAGGACACATGGCACAGAGGATAAAGGCGTTAGTTAGATCCAGTGACAGGACCCAAAGAGTGTGAGTTCAATATAATCCAGTAAAAGCAATGGAGAACTTGGAGTGGGGAATTAACAGACATACATTAAATATGGCATGTGGAACTAGAACAGTCTGCCCCAGTGAGTGAAATGAAGGGTTCGTTTCGACATTCCAACCACCTTAAGAAGTCCGGGGCGTACAATGGCTGAAACGTTGTAATAAATATGGCGACCAAGATGAGGACAATAGTCCGAATAATGTAAATAGTGTACATAATACCTCATCTCAGAAATATAGACAGATATTTTAAAAAGTCATTCAAAGAATAGATCGATGAAGTTAATTAACGGTGAACTCACTTCGTTAACAGATTCAAATTTACAATAATTACCAATAAAGGTTCAGAATATGTAAGAAATAATCACCCGAAAGGGTTTAATATACACAATACAGATCGATCATATTTCATTTAAAGAAACTTGTACAGCAGGTAACCGACTAATTGAATTTCACCACAAACGATCTTCAGGCCGGAAGTGCAGTTATTACTCATGCGGAAAGATTTAAACATGAAGAAATGTTCACCCATTGCCGAACGAAGTGAAACGAATGCAATTTTTACACCCACGGCTTGAATCGAATAAAATTATCATCCGAATTTCTCATAGACAAACTGGAATCATGATCCATTTACACAAATAAATTTACACTTGAATGCTGCCTTACAAGACAAATGCACGTATTTATTTAATTTATTTAATTTAATTTAATTTATTTAATTAATTTAATTTATTTAATTTCGTTTTTGCTTGTTGAATTCAACATTATCATGAAAATTAATATGCTAAATTACAACAAGGTGGCATCGGTGTCTTATGGTAAGAAAAGTTATTGTAAATTTTCATACTGAAAAAAGAAATTACTTTTTAAAATGAAACTTGAAAACTACGACAGTAAGTAAAAAAATATCCTCACTTTCACCAAAACATATCTTTGGGAGTCTCAAACTGCTTTCTACTCATGCGTGCTTATAGTTGGTACCATCGTGGTCACGTCCTCTAAATCGCGCCAGTTTTCTCGTGGCTGTCACAGTGTAAACATGACCGCTCCGCTAGCAGTTACTGAGGGTTTCAGCATATTGGCGTGGTCCAAATTGTTGATTACATCAGATTATGCACTATCTCCCGGAAATTATAAATAAGATTCTCGCAGCATAGTTGCAGTATAAACCACAGGTGGATACTGTGGGTACTTGATACAAGAATTCGCAAACCAATAACCTGAAATTAATAGTTAATATTATAAGCTTGCAGAAATTATTCAAGAAATATGTTTACTGATGCCCACATGTCTTTATATATGAAAAGAGAGCATGGAATTTAATTATCAAACATATTTTTCAAAAATTATTGTTTCTTTGAGTCTTGTAAGGCAATCAAATAGTCAGCATTATAATTTTCGAATTTCTCTTAAAATATTATCGCTGTTTCCATGGCAAATCTTCGGACGAGCTACACCTCCAAGGAAACATGACCCAGTGCATAAAAGCGTGGGTTGATTGATCGAAAAGGTGAAGAGTTGTGAGTTTCAATCTCTGACCTCCGCGGAGAGAACAAAAACTTATAAAGTTATCAAGGCAAATTAACTAAAACTGAGATATTCAAAGGCACGGCACGTGGAATTAGAACAATCTACTGGCAAAGAAGTTAGCAGTGTACAACGGCCGAAATGGTGTGAAGGTGACAGCAAAGATGAAGATAACAGTTCGAACAATGTAAATAGTTACAATAGCTCATCTCAGAAATATAGCCAGATCCTGATGATGGCCAGAGCGTGCAACGGTCGAAACGTTGTGAATGTGACAATAAAGATGAGGACCACGGTCCGAACAATGTAAATAGTGTAAATAGTTACAATATCTCACCTCAGAAATATAGCCAGATCCTGATGATGGCCAGAGCGTACAACGGTCGAAACGTTGTGAATGTGACAATAAAGATGAGGACCACGGTCCGAACAATGTAAATAGTGTAAATATTTACAATACACATCTCAGAAATATAGACAGATTTTATTTCTTCATATTCTTCATATTCCAAGACATAAAATTTACTAATGCGTGGGAAAGCTATGACTATAAATTTGACAAAAATCTAAGAATAAAAATTTCGAATATTACCAATATTTTTCTCTGAGTAGGATTATTAATTATATTTTTCTTATAATATTTTTCGATGACGAATGTTTAAAAAAAATAGAGGCTGAAATGTATTCCTCTTGGATCATATAGCTACCTTCATCCCTGCTTTCTTGTCGATAGAATTAATAATAATTGATTAAATATAGTTGTTAATTAAATAATTATTGGATATCACGAACAAATCCTTTGTGAAAAAAAAGTTTTCTCAATAATTATGGCTTGGTATGAATTTAGGACGAACATTCTCGCTTCTGGTCAGGGGCAAAAGCAGCGTGGTTGTTTGGTATTTATTTGGGGTAACCTTTCTCGCATGTCATTGATAGTGAGATCATTATAATTGGAGTTCCTTATTATATACCAGAGTCAGGCGAGGATAGTAAAGACCTCGTCTTCTGTTTTAAACACTTGGTTAGCAATGAGAATCTCGTGGATAGCTCCAAGTAAAATGGGTTCGATCCTGCCTAGAGAGTTCTTTTAATTTTCTTTCTTTCACTGAAAGCATCCTCCTGTATCTTTAATACCCCCTCCCAGAAGTACCCCTGCGGGGGAGGTGGGGGTTATTCGCTTTCTTGCACCAACAACGTTAGATGTACAATAAATGACAACAATGTGTTTTTGCTGTTAACAGAATACCAAATTGTAGTTTCCGCACAGTTTAATAATTTAGTACAGCAAGTGAATTCGATTCTCACAAGTTGTCACATGAATTCTATTCAGACTGTGACAAAAATACGGATTACGGTCATATCGCGTTAACGCCGGTTCTCGTCTAATCACCGAAATTAAGCAGTGTTGAGCCTGATTAGTACCTAGATAGGTGACCGCTTCAGTGCTGTAAACATTGATGTACAGTTGCGGCAATGGACACGTAATATGAAATCAGAGAACAAAGCTCAAATTTTAATCGGGTTCATTTACGCGCTAATACGCTTGAGTAAGGTATGAATGCTCTTCTTCTCCATCAAGCTGTGGGTTAAAGAGTAGAACTTATATCTGAATATTATTATAGGGATTTTCCAAGCGTAGCTTAGATGAGGCACAAGGCCGAAAGTATGGGTCACCCAGTGAAGATCGAACTCACTACTCAGTCGTAATTGATATAGCAAGACAAACTCGTTAACCATTACACCACATCGATGTGCCCAGTGATTTTCTAAGCACAGCTTAGATGTGGCACAAGGCCGAAAGTATGAGGCACCCAGTGAAGATCAAACTCACTACTCTGTTGTAATTGATATAGCAAGACGAACTCGTTAACCATTACACCACATCGAGGTGCCCAGTGATTTTCTAAGCACAGCTTAGATGTGGCACAAGGCCGAAAGTATGAGGCACCCAGTGAAGATCGAACTCACTTCTCAGTCGTAATTGATATAGCAAGACAAACTCGTTAACCATTACACCACATCGAGGTGCCCCTTTGAAGATTATTATTATCGTCCAATACAATACTCAATCGTAAAAAATAAAATTATGAATCTTACAATCCAAAAATACCTGTCGGCTTTAAATAACCTACAGATGGTTGATTGGTCAGTTTGTTTTTTTTTAGCGGGATATCATAGTCTGTGGGTTATTTAATGCCTGAATCATTTTGTACGCCATCATTTTTTTTTTGTAATACCAATGGTTTGGTGAGACATCATACTAGTTAACCCATAGCGTCGGGGAGAAAAGGTGGATTTATGCGTTTCGCGTATATACGCGTAAATGAATATAACATTGGAACTTGGTCCTCCAATTAACAATTCCGAGCTATTATCGTTTTACATCCCCAGAACATCCATGCTTAATAACACCTGATACTACCAAGTGGTCACCCATCCAGGTACTGACCAGGCTTGGCTTTGCTTAACTTCGGTGATCGTACGGGAACCGGTGTTACAATGTGATGTGGCCGTAAGCCTTGAAAAGGTTGACAAACCGTAAAAAAACAAAATAACGGTTCAAGTAATTTACTTTAAAAATAATCATTTAAATACTACCTTTTATAATTCAAGCGATCATAGAAATAGTTCCAATTGAGGTTCAATGAATTATCGAAATATTTTCTCTTAGAATTTGTGGAATTATAAATGTACTTCTTATAATTCAAGGAATCTTTAAAAAAGAAAATACGTCCTATTAGAATTTTAGCATTCATAAATACATTACTTGGAATTTAAAGAATCGTAAAAAAAATTAGAATTCAAGGATTCATAAAAAAAGGACTACCTCTTAGAATTCAAGAATTTGCCAAAATAGGACATCTTAGAATTTCAGGACTCGTAGTACTACTACCATTTATAATCTGAGGAATCATAAAAACAATCTTTAAAAATAAATCGCAGAAAAACCTGTTCTGAATTCAATGATCAGCTTTTTGAAGAAGGCCAATATAAATAAAACTCCGGTCACGATGAACTGTGACTCCATGGTAGCACAGCCATCGACAGTTTACGGACAGTTTCATCAAACCAATTCCATTTATATGGCTTGGGTCAATACATGATATGGTTTTTGGCCGTTTTTGCCAAATGGCTGTACGCTGGGATCTTCCAAGTCAAATCTTAACAAATCGGTCAAACCTGCGTCTCATAGTTGGAACGCTATCGTTTTAACCAATCGGCTACGTGGCCATATATCCCAAATAAATGCCGTATTTTTATACGATGATTGATTTTTCCCCTTTAAATGTAGACAGCTGATTATGCATGAGGACAAAATGGATGAATAAGTAAGAAAAAGACAAAAAAAAAATCATAGGAAAGGACAGTTGACAGTTGACAGCTAAGACGAAAATCTGGAGATCGTGAAACACGACGCGCATGCGCACACACACACACAACTAGCTAGCTAGCTAGGTAAATAGATAGATAGATAGATAGATAGATAGATAGATAGATAGATAGATAGATAGATTGATTTGTCTATTTGTTAATGGTTTGTGCCCAGACCTGCTGAAAAGTCACTTTCAAATGCTGATATTCAAATTGATTGATTAGTCAATGTGTTTTTATCAATCTTTTGCAGGTGATTTAAAGACAGAAAATAGTTTTAGTTTCTAAGAAACTTTTGAGATCATTATGACTTACTGCTGTATGTCCTAGTAAATAACCCTCCGCTGGAGGGAGAAGAGCTGGATTATTCATATTTTTCGCAAGGGTATTTGTGCGTAAGTAAATATAATGAACCCGACTGGAATTGAAACTCGGCTCTCCGATTAACAATTCCGAGCCGTCACACATTACACAATCCGTACATCTAAGCTTATTGAACCTGGAATACCAAAGCGGTCACCCATCTTCGGTCCTGAGCAAGCTCAACATTGCTTAACTTCGATGATCGTACAACCATTGTTTCAATGTGATATGGTCATTAATCTCAATAACACAAATTATTGCGCCAATAGATTTTGGACGATAACAATGAAAACGTACGAGAAGGAAAAAATATATGAAATCAATAAAAAAAAACAAAAAAAACCATAAATATTCACCTCTAGTTTGCCGGCAAAGATTTCAGATGGGAACATTACAGAACTGTCGACAATCATCGCCAACGTGGACGCAACAGTTTTTCCTTGCAAAGTTCAATCGCTGACAGAACTCTCTGCAAAGATAGGCGGAATTTCGTGCAAGACACCTCGGAGTGGCACCAGGAGACTTTTTCCTTTATTACCATAAATAGTCGATTCCTATTCCATACTGCTACAATGCTGTGAATAGGCTATTTGTAGGAAAATGCCAGTCTGCTCCTTTGGGTCCGCTTGGCAAGGAACACTGAGCGGAAGAAAACGAAAGCTGTCGCAAGCTCGTTCAATACACAGGTGGCAGTTGTTAGAAGTTGTTTATAACGAAAGTTCTCTTCTCTCTTGTTTAATACGCTTGGCTGAGTACAGTAAAAGATGGCGCGGAAAATAGGTTTAGAAATATTACCCTAATCTTCAAGGTAGCGCTTGATTTGCAGTTTCTGTGAGGGTAAGCATTTTATTTTTTAGAAGTCTCTGTCGAATATGAGGTGCGGATAATCTAGAAATAAAGGCGTCTCTCATAGCTTCCTCTGTAAACTTGAGCGGTGACATGTTTGAATTTACGGTCCTTCGCCAGAATATGCAATGATTGAAGATATTGATCCAAGGTTTCTCCAGCCCTGTTGAGTTCTGTTTACAATTACTTGCCTGGCGTATATCTTGGACGAAAGCTCTGTTTAGAATGTTAATAGCTTCAAGGTCTCTACATTCGCTGATCATTTTGTATACATCGGATAACACGTAATTTATAAGAATATTCAAATCTTCACCCTCAGTATGCTTGAGAAAGTTTAAATATGTTCGGTACTAACAATTCCATATTTTCTCTGCCTCAGGGGCCATATTATCTAGATCCAGAATTTTAGGTTTTAGCACCATGTCCATGTTGATATACGAACCCAAATAGTAGTGAATAGATTATTGTAAACTATAATTAGTTAAAAGTATTCACTACTAATTTTTTAGTTGATTCGTCCTCAATGATAGGTTTAGTGGTGTTTACTAGTGTTATATTCCGTGCCAAGGGAATAAATACTTAACACCAGGTGGACAATAGAAGAAAGGTTTATTGTACACAACCAGTACAATATGAAATACGGTACAGTTATACACACAGGTCAATCTAGTAGTGAGTGCCACTATTTGGAAGGTCGGACGTGCGTGTGTCTTCTCTCTCTCTCTCTCTCTCTCTCTCTCTCACTCACTTTTCTCAATATTTATTACGTCCAAGTACATAATTGTGGCACAAGGCCGAAAATGGGGAGGGGTTGACCTAGTAGAGAGAATCAAGGCTAGCCCCGTTCAAACGAACTAAGCTCGCCTGTTTCACCCACCTTTCGCTGAAGACTGTCGAATGCAATCGTTTTCTATCAAATCTAATCTTCATCTTGAGCTGATGCTCAAAGAATCGGATTAGATCCTGATGAGAAAGACGCTTGCCTCTCAAGACTTCCTCCTGTCGCGTCGTCCATATCACCATTCGAGCCGTGGCCAGCAGCGTCAGAAACATCATCCTTTTCACCCTGGAATACGGGGTCGACTCATTGTCACACCCGTATGCGCAATCAATGGGCACAAGCTTTTCGGGAGCGAGACGAGCCGTCAGCTCGCCGACATGGTCCCATAAGGGGCGGACCCGGGTGCAATGGTAGAAGGCGTGCGAAGACGTTTCTTCTAAACCAAGGCCACACCATTCACAGTCTGGCAAATCCGCCAAGTCCCATATGAAGACCCTGTCATTGAGAGGCAGCCGATTCCGAGCCCTGTCACTCTTCTCACGTCTACCCCGTCTCTCGTAGACAGTCGACTTTATAGGTACTTACTACCTATACTGTGATCATTCATGGAGGTGACTGGTTATTCCATTACATCAACCAGGTCGCTAAGCAGACGTGAAACAAGTTTAGTTCAACGTGGGTTTAACGGCCGCAATTCCCCACCCACCTCGGCATTTCTTCTTTTCGTGACGCCTTAGGGACACGGCAATAAACCCAGCCCCCTCCCACGGGAGAGGTACTACCTGGGGAAAAGACCCTCCCATCCCGGAGCTTGGACTAATATTCAATAAATACAAATCCCAGCCAAAGGCTAGGATTAGTTTAGCCTCCAGCTGTATCAACTGCTATTTATAGGGCTGGGGGAGATTTGCGTATGAATACAACAGTGAGTACTTCCTTTGAAAAAAAAATCACCATTTGCAATTCAGGTTTCTAACCGGGATCGAACTGGGTAATAATTAACTATCGTTTGTCACATGACACACGTTTGAACTCTTAGTTGTCTACAGAGATAGCAAGTCGAAGCACTTTTGATAGC